GAGGCAACAGCTGCTCTGTCTCTCCTCTTACCCTCTGCTTGTTGTATCATCACGCCATTTAATTAAACTCAACCAATTTGAACCTTTTCGGAGACTCCATTAGTCTCTTCATTCTAAGCTCCTCTCCTGGGCGCGAGAACAACGAATACTTCTAACACTACACACACACACACTCAGTGTGTGTGTATATATATATATATTTTATGCTATTTGATCCTATATTATCTTCTACTATACACCTGCATTGTGTACACTGTCTTGTCCCGGCCTGCACCCTGTCCAATGTTGACTAGTAAACACATTCCTAGTATGTTGTAAAACTACATGGCGACTAAACAGATCTTGTATCTTGCTTATTTTCCCTCTTAGGAAAGAGGCACGGGATGTGAATTTCTTTGACACCGTCGAGGCGTTGGAGGACCGGCGTGCCGTGGTGAAAGAGTCGATGCACGGGGATCAGATGGTGCTGTTAACCAAGTCCCAGAAAACGGAGGACAAGATGCTCACGATGATGGAGCGCCAGGCTGAAGTGTTGAAGCGGCAGATGGAGCGCCAGGAGCACCAGGATGAAGTGTTGGTGCAGGATGAGCGACAAACCACTTTTCAGAATGGGTTTCTGGAAGTGCTTTCCCAGCTAGTGAAAGCCAACAGGTCTTCCTCCCTATAGTTGCCACTGTTAACAATGTCTGCTGCTGAGCCTATCCCTACACCTGGGACAGTTCATCTTGTATTGTTTTTATTAATACTGACACACAACTTTGCACTAAGGTGTGTATGCTGCTGAGCCTATCCCTACACCTGGGACAGTTTATTTTATATTATTGTTATTACTGTTATTATATAGTCTTGATACAACTGACACTTTATTTTATATTGATAATGTTAACTTACATGTACAATTTCTATTTTATTTACATTAAAAATGTGAACTTCTATTTACTGTTATGTCTTGAGAGTGCAATAAAGAGAACCTACATGGCAATTAAACAGATCCTGTATCTTGCTTATTTCTCCTGACACTTTATCTTTAGTGACCTGTGTAGCATCCTATACATCACATGTAAGTGATTATTCTGACACCATCATGTTTCATCGGTTATAAACTGGCAAAGCTTTATTTGTCATTTATTTATCATCAATGTTGCAACCTTGTGGAGGAATGGCAGGGGCACATACACAAATATGATAATTTATATCATTTTAAATATTATTTGACCTAAAACTAAATGTTTTTATGATTATCCTCTGAGGAGGACATGGGGATTTGCAAACTTTTAATTCCCCCCCCATTTTAAACAACACAAAATGGAGTCCACTATGGGCCAAAACTAACATGTAGGTTTCCATAGTGTTTATGGCAGACGGATGCAGTGGGTCTCAGGAAGATATATATATAATAAATAATAAAGGAGGGTTTGCTGCTGAGCCTATTTACTGTGCATACAACACACCTGGCACAGTTTATTGTTATTATATTGCCACTGTACACTATTGTAATGTTGCCTGTCTTGACTGGAAAATAAAAGAGAGAAACAAAAGCACTGCACAAAAGATCAGCTTTATTGTCAAAATGTTTACAATGTACAATTTACAAGCTGTTCAGATGCCTCATAAGGGCTGTGCACGTGTCTTGCCCCCCAGCCTCGGCAATGGCTGGCGCTGGCCCATCAAGCTGGGTCGCCGGTAAGGCAGTCCATTCGTCCCTGTACTCATCATTACTTTCACAAAGGTTATGTAATATGCAACATGCTGCCACCTGGATTTTGATCTTGTCCATCTTGCAGTCGTTTCTTTTCATCAAGCACTGCCACCTGCCCTTCAGTCTGCCAAAAGCGTTCTCCACCACCACTCGTGCTCGGCTTGTTTTGTTATTGTACGCAAGTTGCTCAGGCTGCATTAACTCAGTTACAAAGCTGTATAACATGAGCACAAACAGCACAACTTCAGTCGACTCCATCTCCATCATGTCTGAGGTCGGAAGGTAAACAACAGACGCCTAATGTACAGCGAGTGGGTGGGCGTCGCAGTATACGCGGGAAGTTTTTCTTCTTCTTCTTCTCTTGTTTTTGTAGCGGATTGCAAACAACTTTAAGGTGCATACCGCCACCTACTGTACTCGCCTTGAAGTGGTTTGTGGCCTGCCAGTAAACCCAAAGCAGAAGAAGAAGAAGTGACGTCAGCGACTCATTTGCGTAATCTTCCCTCAGGGAAAAGTACTCCGGTGTGAACGCGATTGGTACTTAGTGCCCTGGGGTAAAAAGTGCCGGGGCTCTGATTGCCGGAACTAAGTACAGGAAAGTACTTGGTGTGAACGCGCCTATTGTGTCTTTTTAACCAAATATCTCTCAGAGTGGCTCCTTGTTTTCATCTAAAGTAACAGACTAAGAATCAGCACTTTTGAAACAGGGCTGAAACAGAGGGGATTATGGGATGCTACAATGCATGATCTGGTTGGTATTTCGAGCCAAACACTTCAGAGATATGTTTTGTATATATATCTGGGACCTATAATATATTGATGAAAAACAGTATAATAGGGGACCTTTAAATCTGTAACTCTTGAAAGACTTCCTCAGGTGTCCAGCTGGGGTCAGCAGAGTTTCACTGTGGACCCTGCAACTTCTCAGTTTTTCTGAAGACATTTCTGCAGATTGTTGTGTACTTTATTAATTTCAGTTTAAAACAAATATTTCCACAAAAAGCAGGACTTAATAATAGACAAAACAAGCCAGGTATATGTTCCTAACATAACCTATGAATTTATGCACCATTAATGCCATAACTTGAACGTAAAAGTATATATATATTGTAGGATAAGGGGTGTAAGAATATGTTGGTTAATGTAAAATACTTTTTGTGTATTGCTTATGGGCAATTGATTTTTTATTTTTGCCATGTATTTGATGCAACAGCCTATATATTTTCTAAAGTTTGAATGACAGATATGTTTGATACAGTATATAAATACTCTGTTACAAGTTCAAGTCTGGCATTCAAATTTGTACTGTAAGTATTAGCATCAAAATATACTTAAAACAAAACTAAAAATAGTTATTATATGGAATGGCAATTTTCAGAATATTAAATCATTTAATTGGATTCTAATAACTGATCTGATCCTTATCACTAATAGTATGTTATTATTCATTAGTCGATTTAAATACGTTTTAAATAAAAGAGGAAACTGCAAAGTAAACAGTGGTGGAAATTAACAAAGTACATTTACTCAAGTACTGTAATTAAGTACACATTTAAAGTACTTGTACTTTACCCGAGTATTTTTCATTTTCATTATATTTTTACTCCACTACATTAATTTCACAGATCTATTTACTAGTTACTTTATAAGTTCAGATTTTGACACACAATCCTTAGGAAAAACTTTTAAAATATGATTAATTGGTATAGATTAACCATCCAACAATATATTTAAGTAACTATAACCATGAGTGGCTTAACAGAAAATAAGTTATCTGTTCAAAGATATTTCACAGTTCCAGCTTCTTATATGTGAAGATTTGCTGATTTGGATTCCATATATAAAAATATATACTTTTTGCTGCGAAAAGTACTTTTACTCAGTACTTTTACACTTATATTTTACCATACTTAAATACTTTTACTCAAGTAACATTCTTGATGCAGTTCTTTTATTTTGAAATGTAGTATTTATACAGTGTAGTATTAGTATATCTGAATATTTGTTCCACTACAGCTAACTAATGTTGTCCTTAAGCGTAGTGAGTTTCAGTATTTGCAGTTTGTGTGTGTGCCTCTTGGTGTGTGTGCAGGGCCGGTTTTTGGCATAGGCAACATAGGCGGTCGCCTAGGGCGCCAGATCTGGGGGGGCGCTGCGCTGGTAGAAAAAAACATTTTTGACCGTTGGTGCTCATCCTAATTTTCGGCCTTGACAACATTCATAATTAAGTAAATGTAACACCCTTTTCACCCCGGTTACACTTTTCCTTTGCCCTGTACGCTGTAAGTGATGAAAGTGGGGGATGTTGGCTTATCAGGTGCCCGCAGCTCACAGCCAAAGTGCGAGTGAGCGTGGGAGCGAGCGAGGGAGAGAGAGAGGGCGCACCGGTACCGGCGCTGTTGTTATTAGCATCTGGTGCTAGCTGCACTAACGGATATAAGAAGAAGATGTTTCTACAACAAGGGTGGAGGAGAGCTCTCCTGTCAGACTGAGAGGCTCAGTGAGGTAAAGGACTCTCAGTGTTCAGATAGTTAACTTTAGTCTAAGTTATCTCAGTGGGTCTCAAACGTATTGATCACAATTTATGTAAACAGGTTTGAAATCATTTCAATGTATACTATAGGACAGTAAATCAAAAATATCATTTAACACTGGAGAGATAAGAAAATATGCATAAATAAATAAATGTTAACTACGTAAAATAAGATATGAATGAACAACAAAAATAAGTTACATTTATTTGTTATTGGCTATGGTAGGTTATTGGTTATGTTCACATACTTATTTGATTATTAAAATGTAAACCGATCTTTTTCATATCATGGGTGTTTTAGAGTTGTAGATCAGGTCTCTAGTAATTGTGTGCTCAAAGTGCACCAGATTGAAGCATTTTACTTTAAAATGTTCGAACATTTCTTCCCGGGGGAGCATACCCCCGGACCCCCCTTGAGGATGTGATGTCCATCCCCCAATTCAAACATGATCTACAATACTGAATAATACATTTGAAGCCGTTTTTATGTTACCTATGCCAATAAGTTTCTGTTTTTGTAGTGTATTTGTCTTTTGTAGAGATTTTTCATGTATGCTTTATATATTCTATTGGGGGGGGGGGGGGGGCGCCAGCTAAAATCTCGCCTAGGGCAGCAAATTGTCTAGAACCGGCCCTGTGTGTGTGTGTGTGTGTGTGTGTGTGTGTGTGTGTGTGTGTGTGTGTGTGTGTGTGTGTGTGCGTGTGTCTCTGGGCGTGTGTCTCTGGGTGTGTGTCTCTGGGTGTGTGTGTGTCTCTGGGTGTGTGTGTGTCTCTGGGTGTGTCCTCCAGCAGGTACAGCTCTCTCTCTCTCTCTCTCTGTTGGACACTCAGTGTTCGGGATGGATGTGCTCTCTGTGACGCCGCTGCTGCTCCTGCTCTCTTTCCTCGGTAATAACTCATTCACTTATTATTACATCGTTATTATAACATAGGTCTTATTATAAAGTTATTTTTAAAGTTAGTTTGTGATCAAACTGATTTATACAAAAATGTAAAAAGGTTTCCATCGTGTGGCTCCCTGGGTACTTTTGTTCATGATTAAACTATGCAGAATAATGACCCTATCCCCCCCCCCCCCCCCCGCCTCAGGATGCTGTGCGGGGCAGGACGTGCTGCCCGACGGCCCGGTGGACGCGGTCCTGGGCACAAATGTGACTCTAAAGACGCTGGTGGACATATCGGAATACATCGCTATTAGCTGGACCTATAACGACGATGGTGAGACGACTAGCGTGGCCACCGCCCTGGCCGACGGGTCGGTCAACGTGAACGAGCGGTACAAAGGCAGGGTGACGATGAACAATACCAACGGGTACCTGTACCTGGCGGGGCTGCTGGCCTCCGACAACGGGGACTACAGCATCAGCATCATAGCCAAGGGTGGAGACACTAAAACCGGGGAGATCCACCTCCGAGTCCTGGGTGAGTCACTCCTCTGAGAACACTTCCGGCGGCATTGCCGCGTCTCTTACATGTTCAAATAGTTAGCTCACTTTTCCCTCTCGGCTTTTAGAGGCAAGGGTGTTTTAATACATGTTTCGGGCTCATACCGTGTCCCTGTATAATAGCAGGGAGTCCGCTGCAGGCCACACCTGTGTTACCTGTAGCGCCATGTTGAGCGGGTATCCCTCCGCCAGCACGACATCTGCATTCACCACGCAGCAGTTACCGCTCAGGGACTATATTCCTTTGCGAGATCTTGTTCTTGAGTAAAAGTACCAGAGTGTATGAATACTCTGTTACAAGTAAAAGTCCTGCAATGAAAATGTTACTCAAGTAAAAGTAGAAAAGTATTAATTGTGCAGATTGGTCCATTTCAGAATAATATATATGATATGTTTTATAATTATTGATCATTAAAGTGTTCTCAAAGCTGGTAAAGGTGCAGCTAGTTTGAATGACTTTGTATACTGCAGGGTAGCTTGTGAATTTACTCCAGGTGAAACTAAAGTCTGATTTAACACTTGATTATATTTCACATCATTCATCCACATCTGTAAAGTAACCAAAGGTATTCAATAAATGTAGTGGAGTAAAAGTACACCATTTACCTCTGAACTTAGAAGTACAAAGTAGCAAAACATTGAAATACTCAAGTAAAGTACAAGTGCCCCAGCATTGTACCTAAGTACAGTACTTGAGTAAATGTACTTAGTTACTTACACCACTTGTGATAATTATATAATGATCTGTTCCCTGTTGAGTGGAGATCTACCAGCCTGATCCGACGGACACACAGAAACCAGCGGGCCCCTGCCCTGAGCCCCTTCAGGGTGTGGCACTTCCGGGGGGAACTGTGTGTGTGATTAGTTACAGTTAGAGATGTTTGTTTAAAGCTGTGACCTTACTGGTATATGCCGGTGGCAGAATATGTTACAGTGTAAACAGTAACACACACACACACACACACAGACACACACACACGCACGCACACACATGCGCACACACACACACACACACACACACACACACACACACACACACACACACACACACACACACACACATGATTTGAGTGATTATTTTGTTAAGGATGGCCACATGATAACTTGCACCAACATGACCAAAAAGTAATTTCCCCATATGAATCAATGCGCTAATGAAACTCCTGCTTTAATCACATGCAGTAGGGCTAAACTAATGACTTATATATACGTATATGTTATACGTTTTGACATATGTTCTTCTAAAATCAATGAAACATGTGTAATTATCAAAACAGTTGTGGGTTAATGAACTAGTTGGTAATGGTTGCGGTTGTCTGAGCTAGTTGGTGATCAGTCAGTATGTCCTGAGGCAGCAGTCACTTAAATAAACGTCTCCACTCAGGCTGGTGCTCGCCACATGATGTCAGCTTGGACCTTTATTTATCAAAGGATGGTTGAAAGTGGAGCATGCATGCCTTCCCAGCATTCCTTCTGACACTCATTCATACATTTCTACTCATTTCCACACGGTGACCGACCAGTTAAACCACACTTTGACAAATACAGAGAACAAAAGCACCAGTGTTGTGTTTGTGTCTTCTTTTTGTATCAGAGTACAGTGGACCAACGAATGTTTTGAAAACCGATCCATACTAGTCTGTGCCAATATTCTTAAGCATGGCCATTACATTTAGCTGATGCTTTTATCCAAAGTATCTTACAACAATCAATCATCTATGAATGAACAAAATCAATAATATTTTAAATGGGTTAGCCAAACCATTCTAAGTTGTACACGCATAAGTGAGCAGTTTGAAAAATAAATTATTATTATTACTGTTGGCCCTGATATCGATTGGGTATCCAGAATTGTTTGATTTTCCATGTTATTACCGCATCGTGACATCCATAGAGTGGACCTTGAATGAGGTCTACAGACAGAGGTGCACCTCTGAAGTTCCCGTGGGGGGGGGGGGGGGGGGGGGGGGGATAGTGGATGGACTGAGGTCTGCTTTCACACCTTCGCTCTGCTCTCACTCCTCCGCCCTGCTCTCACGCCTTCACTCTGCTCTCACTCCTCCGCCCTGCTCTCACTCCTCCGCTCTCACTCCTCCGCTCTGCTCTCACTCCTCCGCCCTGCTCTCACTCCTCCGCCCTGCTCTCACTCCTCCGCTCTGCTCTCACTCCTCCGCCCTGCTCTCACTCCTCCGCCCTGCTCTCACTCCTCCGCTCTGCTCTCACTCCTCCGCTCTGCTCTCACTCCTCCGCTCTCACTTCTCCGCTCTGCTCTCACTCCTCCGCTCTGCTCTCACTCCTTCACTCTGCTCTCACTCCTTCACTCTCACTCCTCCGCTCTGCTCTCACTCCTTCACTCTGCTCTCACTTCTCCGCTCTCACTCCTTCACTCTGCTCTCACTCCTTCACTCTGCTCTCACTCCTTCGCCCTGTTCTCACTCCTTCACTCTGCTCTCTCACTCCTTCACTCCTCCGCTCTGCTCTCACTCCTTTGCCCTGCTCTCACTCCTTCACTCTGCTCTCACTTCTCCGCTCTCACTCCTTCACTCTGCTCTCACTCCTTCACTCTGCTCTCTCACTCCTCCGCTCTGCTCTCACTCCTCCGCTCTGCTCTCACTCCTTCACTCTGCTCTCACTCCTCCGCTCTGCTCTCACTCCTTCATTACATTACATTACATGTCACTTGTTAGACACTTTTATCCAAAGCGACTTACATACTCAATACTGTGGACAATCCCCACATGAGCAATTTGGGGTGAAGTGTCTCAGGGACACAACGACATGCTGACTGCAGTGGGGTTTGAACCTGTGACCCCCTGATCTGAACACCAACACACAACCCACTGCACCACACGCCTCCTCGCCCTGTTCTTACTCCTTCACTCTGCTCTCTCGCTCCTCGTCTCTGCTCTCTCACTCCTTCGCTCTCACTCCTCCTGCTGCCTCGTCAGCACACCCAGCCCTCACATGTAGACACGCAGCTCCAGGATCAGTGAAACAGGTCAAGCAGGTCGAGTCGGTGCCATTTCCCGGCCATCTTCATTCACTCATTCAAATGTTGATTTAGAAACACAATTAGGATATTGTGCAGAGAAACCTCGGGTGGTTATTAAACTCTCCACCCCCTGACACCATTAGCTGCTCATCTGTAGCAGCATAACTGGGGGTGAGTTTAGATGGTATTTGTGGATAAATGTTGATTTTGAAAACCAGATTTTCTTCCTAAGATTTAAAGAGGGTCACATACTTTATCACTGTTGTAAATGATTTTCTATGCACTTCTATCTATATATCCATATAATAGAATGCCCTTTGACGTAAGGTCGGGAAATATGATTTGTTCCTCCCACATTTAGTTCTGTTCACTCAACAGTCCATTCCCCAGTCCTCATGCCGTCATGTTTCCTGTCCTCCATACAGAGCCGGTGACAACTGTAGCCATAACACCCAGCCTGCCCGAGGCCATGGAGCACAACAGCACCGTGGTGCTGACCTGCACCGCTAAAGGCTCCTACCTGAAGTTCGCCTGGCTCATGGGCACCAAGGCTATCGTCGCTGATGGCAAACGGATCACCCTGAAAGAGGTGGGTTTACACCATGGATGTATAAACATAACTGGATACAGCGATGGAGGCGGGGCCCTGAAAAAGGCCTGACGCTGTCGAGAGAGCAAAATGAGCATCTGGGTCCATAGAGAGCGAGCACTTGAGTTTTCCTTAAGCCCTGCTCGGATTCAGCTGTTGGTGCAACTTTTAGACCCTGTTGATTTAGGGCTATAAAAGTGTTCATACTGGTTAGTTTTTTTAGTAAAGATCTGCTGATTTACAGACGTCTCTTTCCCAATGTAAGACAATGGGGAAAAGTATTTCTGGGCCCTATGATGTCACGACTGACACAGGCGTTGTAGTACTACGAACATTTGGTTCAACATCCACCGCACTCCCTGGGGGCTTGGTTTACACGTGTCTTTGAAATGTTTTTACAGGATGTGTTCTAAATTGTATCTGCTGTAAAGAATGAGATGATTGCAGACTGAGTCTATGGCTATGAATCTGGGTGTAAATGCACTCTATCTAACAATCAGAGTGGTTCTACCCCTCCCCCTGCAGTCAAACATGGTGATGTGTGCTTGGGCCACATACTTAAAACCAAATTGCTCCAGTAGTGTGTTGCTTTGGATAAAAGCCTCAGCTAAATAAAGTAAGATATTATATAAAAAGTAAACAGTTGTATTTATTAATTAATTCTTTGGATGAATAAATAACCAATGTGCTCTGTGCTTTGGATGGCCTGTCAGGAGGAACTGTCCAGCATTCTGACCATCACAGGGGTCCTGAGGACGGACCTGCCGGCCCCTGTCACCTGCAGCGCCACCAACAATCTGGAGAGCCAGAAGAGCGCCCCCTTCAGCCTCATTGTGCACTGTAAGTAACTATGAAAGTCAGCTATTCCTCCCCAAAGTGTTTGTTTTCATTTTTCACTCATCCACACTTATGATGGTTGTGGAGACACTGCATGATGTAGTGTTTAGGACTGAAACACTATAACACACTATTTCTGATTCAACAAGATGATGAGGCTAAGTAATACGTGGATTTGTAATCAACTGCAATAAACCTGAGCTGTGTGCTCTGATTACCCACTTTTATTGTGTATTTTATAATGCCATGCCTTTCTTCTGCTGTTACTGTGATGTAACAGTGTTATCAGCAATGCATTTTCTTCGCCCTCATGACCGTAGCACAGTGAAAGACTTCCCCAATGTTTACTCTCAGGTCTGAGTTGTTTGAGACGTTTCAGAGAGAGAGTGAGTCAGCCGCTGACACTCCCTCACACCCCTCTAATCACTGCTCATAGTTTCTGGCTCACATGTTGCCTGACTGTCACATACAACTGTTTCCAATACTGTAGAGCTGCTACAGTAGCTAACGCTGCTCAGATTCCTAACCCTTGGGTGTAAACAGGTGTAGATGTGACTGGTGCAGTGTAGAGTGTGATGTGTGTTTCATGGTGCCCCCACCACACTGTGTACACAGCGGCCACACTTCCACTCCTTCCCCATGACTAACCAGAAGGCGGTGAAACCACACCGACCACTGGTTAACCCTGTTATTAATTAATCTAAAGCTCTCCGCTTCATCTGGCTTTATGTGCAGCCAAGCCCAATGACTCTCATTTCCAACAAACATTTTCAGTCCATAAACTTGAAAATAAAATACTTGAATAATATATATTCAACATGGCCCTTCTCTAAATATCAATAACTCTGAAGATACGGTTAACCACTTTCAGTAGCTGCTGCTCTTATTTCAGTGTTTTAGCTACAAAAAAATTAAATCAATGTAAATGTAATGCTGCGTTTCCAAGACACAGCTTCAATTACTCCACTGACTCACTTTTTGAGAATCAGAGTGAGCTGATACTAAAAGGTGGAGCTCTAACTCTGACGGTTGATTGGTCAGAGAGACTCGTCACTAGCACGTAACAGGACTTCCTGAACACAGCAGTTTCCACACAGCCAAGCTATAGACAGATAGATAGATAGATAGATAGATAGATAGATAGATAGATAGATAGATAGATAGATAGATAGATAGATAGATAGATAGATAGATAGATAGATAGATAGATAGATAGATAGATAGATAGATAGATAGATAGATAGATAGATAGATAGATAGATAGATAGATAGATAGATAGATAGATAGATATACAGATAGATAGATATACAGATAGATAGATAGATAGATATACAGATAGATAGATATACAGATAGATAGATATACAGATAGATAGATATACAGATAGATATATAGATAGATAGATAGAGAGATAGATAGAGAAAGAAAGAGAGAGATAGATAGAGAGAGATAGAGAGAGAGAGAGATAGATAGATAGATATACAGATAGATAGATAGATAGATAGATATACAGATAGATAGATAGAGAGATATAGAGAGAGAGAGAGAGAGAGAGATAGATAGATATACAGATAGATAGATAGAGAGATAGATAGAGAGAGAGAGAGAGAGAGAGAGAGAGAGAGATAGATAGATAGATAGATAGATAGATAGATAGATAGATAGATAGATAGATAGATAGATAGATAGATAGATAGATAGATAGATAGATAGATAGATAGATAGATAGATAGATAGATAGATAGATAGATAGATAGATAGATTGATAGATAGATAGATAGATAGATAGATAGATAGATAGATAGATAGATAGATAGATAGATAGATAGATAGATAGATAGATAGATAGATAGATAGATAGATAGATAGATAGATAGATAGATAGATAGATTGATAGATAGATAGATGGGAAGTGATTTTGTGACAGCAGTTTCTACAGCTGATCTCCATGTGTTGTCCCTCCACAGACGGACCAGATGAAGTTTCCATCACTCCTCCAAACCCTTCCAAATTCCTCCGCTCCAAATCCAACTTCAGCCTGTCCTGTGCGTCCCCCTCCAGCCCCCCCGCCACATTTAGCTGGTACCAGACCCAGCAGTTGTTGGAGGTGGCGGGTCCTGTCCTGACTCTGGAAGCCATTGAGAAACTGAAGTTAGGCAGTGCAGTGGGGAATTACACATGCAGGGCCAAAAACGCCAAGACCCAGCGCGCCGCCTCCTCCCCCGCCGTCTCCTTCGCTGTGATGGGTGAGTCACCTGACCTTTCTGAGAGAACTACTACTTGCCGTGAAATTGTTTATAGACATACAGGTCTCCGAGGAACCATGGTGAAGGCTCCGGTTATCCTCTTGGTCTCTGCAATAGAAATATGGCATACAAATGTTTTGAGTTATTCGGTCCAAAGATAGTTGCAAACTTTAAATGATAAGCTATATATATATTAGTGACAGTCACTTCAATTGTTATAGGATATCATATTTTACCAGCTTGGCTGAAGTTCACTTGAGCTCAACCAAGAGAGTCGAAATAAAGCAGACTGAAACCTTTCCTGACCGTGACACATCTGTCACACGAACTGCTTGTAGTGACCCATTACCTGTGTGTGTGTGTGTGTGTGTGTGTGTGTGTGTGCGCGCGCGCGTGCGTGCGTGCGTGCGAGAAACCTGCTGTGTTTGAGGATGGTTCTACAACATGAAAAAAGAGCTCTGCTCCGCTGCTCAGGTGGCGTCTCAGTGGATTGAAATGGAGATCAGGTTACTGTTAATGGTTCGGCTCCATCAGTCTATTATTCTATCATCTATTATTTACCAAACAGAAAGGATCATTAAAGACCCTATCTGGTTGCATTATGGGAAATGTAGGATCCAGTGTTGATTGAGCTTGACCTATAGTAAGGACTAAAGTTCAGGGTGTTTGGGGTTCTTTCATACTGGAGTATGCTTTGAAAGTTGGACTTCTAAATATCACATCTTTTTATTTCTCTCTCTTTTTCAATTATTGATTTTCTTTGTAAACCAATTTGGTTTGATTTTTTTATGTGAAATTAAAGGTCATCAAAGTAGGTAGGTAAAGGGTAAAACAAGAGCAACGTGAGATTATTTAGGTTCAATATAGCTGAATAGAAAAACCATAAAAAGAGAACTAAAATATCCCTGTCCCCTTGGTTCAGAGGCCATCTCAGGAGCGAAGGTGAGCGGTCCGATGTCCGTGCTCTTCGCCGGGAACAGCTCGGCCAACCTGAGCTGCGTCGCGGCGTCTGGCCAGGCGCAGAGCGTCCGCTGGGAGCAGGACGGAGCGGCCCTCAACCCCGTGACCCGCCGGGTCTTCTCCCCTGACATGAGCTCCATGCTCATCAGCCCGCTGCAGAAGGAGGACAACGGAAAGTTCACCTGCATGCTCACCAACCCCATCAACACCGACAGCGCCTCCTACAGGATGGTGGTCAACTGTGAGTCTGAGGAGTTACAGGGGTGTGCAGTTTATAGCCCTGGTTCATTTATCATGGAAGGGGTCTATTCCTAAAGCATTAGCAATAAACCAGTGGTTTTAAGATTCTTTACTTGAATAAAAGTACTAATACCACATTGTAAAAATACTCAATTCAAGTAAAAGTACTGCATCAGGAATGGTTATTAATTAAAAGTATTTTAGTACGATTAGGAAATGCAAGTATTAGGAGTAAAAGTACTTATTGCAAAAATATATATTTGAAAGCTAAAGCAGCACATCTTCACATGTAAGCTGGAACTGTGGAATATCTTTGAACATAAACCTCTCAGCAAAATAACTAATAAATAAATGTTCTGTTAACCCACTGACAAAACAATCATATTTTAATATAACATACTTGAAACATTCGTCCTAAGTATTGTGTGTCAAAATCAGAACTTATAAAGTAACTAGTAAATAAATATGTAAAATAATTGTATTGGAGTAAAAAGTAAAAATGTTGATTCCAAAATGTAGCAGAGTAGAAGTATAAATAAGTCTATAATGAAATACTTGAGTAAAGAACAAGTACCTTAAATGTACATTACTTGAGTTAATGTACTTAGTTACTTTCTATGTGGTGTCCGTTAGACGGCTCACTGGAGCGTGTGGACTCGGAACTTGGAAATATGATGTCGCCCTGTGTCCTGGAGATGCTCTGAATGGGAACACAGGAAGTAACATATGTACAATAAGAAAAGTTAGAACAAAATCAAAACAAACATGTGTACGGGTGAAAATTGTTCATTTGAGGAATAGTTGTGAAGCATGCAGCTGATACACCCTGTGTGTGTGTTCTCCTGCAGACGGCCCTGAGGCGACCCTGGTGAGCGGGGAGTCTGCTGTGGAGGTGGACACCAAGGTGGTGTTCACCTGCTCCGCCGCCTCCGTGCCCCCCGCCAACTTCACCTGGAAGTTCAATGGCACCAAGACCGACGTCAAAACGGCCCAGTATCAGATCGAGGCGGCTCGCTACAAAAACAGTGGAATGTACATGTGTGAGGCGCACAACCCCCTCACTGGCAAGACCAGCACCCACACACACACCCTGTCCGTCAAAGGTGAGAGCCTGCAGGAACACACACCCGATCTTCAGAGAAACTCATATCAGCTGCACATAAGGATGGACAAAATGTATTACCAATGCAACTTCCTTTACGGCAACTTCTGCAAGAATAGGTTAGATTTTCACTATCCCAGAATGATTAAAACATATATAACTTCTCATCAGATCTACTGACTCAAAGGTAGTTCTCAGAGTGGGGCCGGTATATTCTGATGAGCCTCCATGTGACATATGTGTTGATCCGTGTTGATCAAGTGGGTGGTTAGGCAGACACGCCACATAGCAATATGTGTGATCAAGCACTGAATGGGACCTACCTGGTTAAATAAAGGTTTCAAATTAAATGAAATGAATGTAGCATATTATTTTCGATGGCTTTACTGTATGATCAGTATGACAGATGAACAGATCGCCACTGGGCTTTCAACTAAAGACACAGCCACGCAGAAACTGCAGCATGTGTACGGCTCCTTATGGGTACTGACATTTTTGAAGTGCCGGAGCGACGTTCCGGTGCTCTCCATCAGAACTGCACCCCTGTCAGACGAGACATATACCACGTGATGACACGTTAGGCTCGTGTTGTGTTCAAGGAACCTGACCTTGGCCAGGAAAAACAGGCCCTCGCTTGTTTAATTATTTTGCGCTCTAGATTTCTTAAACATTTTTTTTTTGCGTGTGTTTATAAATTACCTCGAGGGCCGTACCAAATGGTCTCGCGGACCGTATACGGCCCGGAGGCCAGAGGTTCCCCATCCCTGCTTTAGTTCATGACAGGAAACCTGTAAAACCAACAATGACGTTCATTCCAGTGTTTTGCAATAGGTAAACGTTACTAATGATCTAGACTGTGGAGGCCTGCCATACTCTCATTTGCCCAGCAACAGTTTCATAGAAATCCTAAAATATTTGTGTACTTCCCAACTTCTGTAACATACAAACTGCTAACAAGCTAATTTTAAAGTGAATTTACTCCAGAGGATCCCTTTGAGCAGGGGTTCATAATGTGGTTGTGGTTTCAGAGGAAGGAGCGCTGGATGAAGGTCTCTCAGACGGAGCCATCGCTGGGATCGTGATCGCAGTCCTGATCGCTCTCGGTGCCGCCATCGCACTACTCTTTTTCTGCAGACAGAAAGTGCCGTGAGTACTGTTTTTTATCTTTGTTTGACTTTGCCAATATGATGTAAGATATCGCTCTGTAGAGTTACTAACCTGTAACAATCCCTGGTTTCCACATGACAGTTGACACAGTTTATGTGTAAGCATACACACACATGCAAAAGCAAGCACACACTCAAGCTGTCACAACACTAACGCAACAATAACAGTCACAGCCACCATTTACATCCTCCTTCAGAGGAGCCTTTGTTGGTTTGAAATGTCTCTCAGCAGAATCCCGTTCACTGAAAAAAACAGAAACAACTATTGCTTAAATATTTTTATATTTTTAGGTAACCAAAAGTATCACTTCTGTTCTTTTAAAATAAAACCGCTTTAGGATTTATATTAACACAGAAGAGGGAGTGTGTGCAGTTTGTCCCAGCGGGAAATCAACTCCCTAAGAAGTAGTTAGTAGGAAATACACACCCCTGGTGACATCATTTCAACTAATGCACACCCGTCAGCTTGCTTCAAGGATTTTGTAGAATGTAGACTCATACTTGATGGCAGTGTGCTTCAGACAAAGTGCCTGTGGTCTAACATCGTCTGAACTCTGTCCATGTTAGATTTAAAGCTGACCTTTAAAGTTTATTATGACTGTGGAAACGACATCATCAACTAACTGAATCTTTGAGTCAAAACTCTTGATAAACTGCAGATTGGTTTGCCATGTAGGCTTTAGAGATCACAGTCAGACGGCAGACCTGATCTGAGACTTGACAGCAAAGATCTCAATGCTAAGTTTTCGGGTGGGAAGATCCGGGAACAATACAACTATGACAGGAAGACCTTGTATCGCTCACAGTATGAACATCTCACTGGGTTGGCTTGGGCATTAGCCTAAAATGTAGAAAGATGTTTATTTATAGACAGGACTCAACTTGACTTTGAGCAGCTCTTGCAGGAACATGATTCACGGAGCGTAACGAGCGTCAGCAGGTGACGTGATTTAAATCTGAACAAAGTGCTTCTTCCCGAACAGAGGCAGTAATGCAATCCTGCGCCACATCCTGTCAAATTTCAATATGGTGTGAAGCAAGGCAGGAAACAAAGAACATGAGTCAGCTCCTCACATATTCCAACTGGCTTTGTAGAATCGCCTCACGGGAAATGTCAATCTAAAGACCTCTATCTTTACATTTGGATTCTCCATCTTCATATTCCTCCTACACCAGGGGTGCCCAACCTTTTTTGAACCAAGAGCTACTTTTAAAGTTGCCAGTCTGCCGAGATCTACCAGTCCAAATAGAGGGGGGGGCTGGGGTGCGAGCGAGCTGTCAACTGGGGGGGATCCTCGCTGCGAGGAAACGGCGGACCTCTGTCGGTGCAACTTCAATGATGCCTTTTAAAAACATAACAAATGAATGGCGGTGACGGCTGTCAGCGAATCGAGCCGGCCCTTGACGACCGGCCGTTCTGTGATTCTCCAGATTCTCCAGATGGCCAGTCCGCGGAGGGTGGAAAATACATAACGGAAGTAAAAAAAGACGTGCAGCGGGATGGTGTTCCCACGGGAAACAAAACTTAAAATATGAAATGAAACAATCTCATCTCTTAAAAATCACAACTTACTATGAATTAAACATTCACAAACTTATAATTATGTATTCATATGTTTAACTCTGTTACATATGCACGCAACGAACAGAAGAGCGTAGGGCAGAATTAGGAGGGAATTCCGTCTCGTAGCGTTTGTGCACTGTTTTGAAATGCCGCTCCTAAATGACCCTTCTTCGATAAAGCCACGCTCGCATTGCAGATGAGACAGATGGACTTTGAATTGGAATAGATACAAAAATAATCATCCTCCCACTCGGAGTGAAAATGATATATTTTGGGCTTTTTTGCTTCTGCCATAATTGCGGTCTTTTGTGTGTGCGGACTGTCACTCTCCTACAGACAACATCAGCTAACTAGTGCTGCCCACTAGCCACGCCCCGACACGGGGTCACGCCAATCACAAAGCTTTGATGCGTTCAAGTGCATTATTCTGGCACAGGAAGATTATGTTATAGGGCATTAACGATAAAACAGAATATTGTTGTTCTATTTTTAGACACATCTCGCGATCGACTGGGAATCTCCCCTGTCCTACACCTTCCCTTCTCGCCTCTTTTTACAGAGCTCTTGCCAAAGGGGAAGATATTTCCATTGAGTACTGGCTCCAAGTGCTCCATTCTTACCATCGCACGCGTTGGTGACTTACCACTGAAGAGCTGAGCATGAACAATGACCAACACCACACACACACACACACACACATACACACACACACACACAGGTAAACCTGGGGGGGCACGCCCTGTTCTCCCTGATAGAGCCTGCTGAATCAGAGAAATGGAAACACAAGTCAGGCAGGACTTCAAATATACCCTGCAGACATCTCCAGAAACGATCATGTCTCTGTGTGGTAACCTATACACACACACACACACACACACACACACACACACACACACACACACACACACACACACACACACACACACACACACACACACACACACACACACACACAGTCTGTCAGAAGTGAACAAAAAATGACCTCACTACACAACAATGTCCTTGTCCTGCGGGTCTAAAACTAAAACAGGTTATTTTCAAGTTACAAACGCAGTTTTCCAACTGCCCAACCCCCCACACACACACACACACACACACACACACACACACAGCCACACAGACCTGTTGAGTGGGGGATCCTGGGAAAAGGATGTAGTAAATCCAAATAAAGATCTTCTGTGATAATCAGAGCCTGTATGAATGAAAGCTCTGCAGTAAGGCAGGTGCAGCCAGCGTCACACACACAAAGGCCCAATCCCAAACCACGCCCTACCCCTACACAGTCCCCCTCCGTGATGGAGTGAACTCCGTGGAGTGACACTTGCAGCTCAATGAGCTTTATAATAAAATGCACACATTTACCTTTTTCTAGACTAAACACAGGTATGATCCTAAGTAAAACAAATATGAGGTTATCATGAGGTTGTTAACATCGCAATTTATCAGTGGATGTTTGATGGAACTGTTTGTAAACAGCGTGTTTCCTGACGGACACACACAGCGTTGAGACCGGTCAGGTAGAGACCGGTCTCCAGTCAGCACTGCTGCAGACTCGCTGTTTCAGGGCTTGATAGCCCACTCCCTCTCCACACTCGTTGGTTTGTAACAGCACTTAATGTGGCGGACCCTCTGCGCGAACGGAGGGGTAGTGTGTAGGGGTAGGGTGTAGGGCGTGGTTTGGGATTGGGTCACACACATACACACACACACACACACACACACACACACACACACACACATACTGTATACATCGCTTCAGGGGACATTACATTGACTTACATGCATTTCCTGGAGACTTATCCTGACCTTAACCATAACCAACACATGCCTTACCCTTACCCTAACCAAGTCTTCACCCTAACATTAATGATTCCCCTCATGGGGACCTCCATTATGTCCCCATGAGGGAGGCGAGTCCCCACACGTGACTGTGTAAACAGATTTAGGTCCCCACAAGGATAGTAATGCTAGGCCACACACACACACACAAACACACACACACACGCACGCACGCACACACAGAGAACGGGAGAGGATTAAAGGATCAGTACCCCCGGTTCGTACACAACCTGTTCAGGGATGCAAACTTGTCACCTTTCGGCGAAATTCGCCGTTTTGAATCCAAAATAGGTCGTTTGTGTGATTCATGTAGATCTGCAATAAAAATATTTTTGGGGTATGGGGGGGGTCTGGGACCCGGAGTAATCTGCGGCCGCGAGCTGTTATGTGCCATCATGACACGCGTGGTGTTCTTTTTTTATATATTATAATGCAGCGCGAGCTGTGTGCTCGAGTCTTCCTGCCTGTCGGCTCTGCTCATGGATGTATAATAAGGCTCTGCTGCTCCGGGATGAGGGTCTAGCTTCAGCAGCTACATTACCGACGGGTGCGTTCGTTAATATTAACTGTGCGGTCCGGAGTCACTGTGGCACAGACTGGACCGCTGGTGAACAGCTGTTAGAACGGGCCGTTCAGGTGTTCAGAGCAGAGCTCCCTGTCAGAGCGGCAGAGCGTGATGTGCACTGAAAAGTGTTCCTGTTAGTGATGGGAATTCCGGCTCTTCTTGGTGAGCCGGATCATTTGGCTCGGCTCACCAAGAAGAGCCGGCTCTTTCGGCTCCCAAACGGCTCTTCAGTTTACTACATATTATACCTTTTATAATTCAATCAAATGTAGCCCTGTTTTGACTCATGATTTATATGTGTACACATATCACTTAAATTATTCAATACATCCTTTGTACTGAAGTATTCAAAAGTAAAAATTACATGTTTAATATCAATTATTTGCTGTGGCCAGTTTTCATTGCATTTACAGACCCTTGTATCTCTCTGATACCACCCAATGAATGCACTGACTTGCTTGAACCACGCTACACAAAGCAGATAGCAACACCTATAAAAAACCCGAGGTGACAGGGCTTTCAGTGTTGCAGCTCCTAGACTGTGGAACAGCCTCCCAGTATATATCCGGACTGCTGAGTCTATTGAACTTTTTAAATCTCAGCTAAAAACTCACCTCTTTGCACTGGCTTTTAATACTAGTTGAACATTACATTTTTACATTTGTATGTGTTTTTTTTAAATATTTTTCTAGTTATTGTGCTTTTTATCATGTTTTTAATTATTGTTTTATTATTGTACTCCCATTGTGTTATTTAATATGTATTGCCTGTACAGCACTTTGGTCAACTGAAGGTTGTTTTAAATGTGCTATATAAATAAATAAAGATTGAGATTGAGATAAAAACTTAAGCATAGACATTTAAATAAAGGGGCTACTGTATCGACATTTTAAAATTATATTTAAAGAAAAGGCCCTGACTAAACAGCAGGGCTCTATTTCAGTATTAACTATAGAAAAAAAGACAGCAACAGCTGACATCAAATCTTTGCTGAGCCCAAGGATAATCATAA